TTTACGGCTTCAAAAAGCCAAATGAGTTACATTTTCGGATATTATTAGTCCTTGTTATCGCTAGAAAGCTTAAAGTTGTTATCTATGGAGAGATTTCCAAACTGTACGAGACAACGTCAGGACTCGTAGGACCATATTTTCATAATTCTTGAACCACATTAACTGGACCGTTGTCATTTCGCTTCGGTTAAGATTTACCCTCGTTGCCTAATTTTGTTATAGCTTGATGCCGAACCATTGGCGATAAGGTTGTGCATGACTGAATTCGGGGTTCCTTTTTTGCACTAGAGCCGTATAAATTAGGCATAAAATGTGCTTTGATGTAATAGTTTATTGTGAATGACTCAAGTGAATGTAATACGCTACACAAAAGAACATATCACGGGCTAACCTAGTTTATATATATTTCTTTTTGGATCATCTGCGTTCAGATCAAATTCCAGGATTTGGGTCGTAACTATTCGTTTTAGGCTTTTTAATTTATTATATTTGATTGATCTAGGTCAGATCCAAGTATGCGTAAGGAATGACTTGAGGTTGACTTTGCATGAGATTCACGATACTTTAGAGCTGGTGCATCATAGGAAATTTTGAAGGTGGTAGATTTTATGGGATGAACTTAAAGAATTCGATTGGCCATTGAGTGTGAATCTCAACATAGTTGTTATCATAGAGTTTTGGACATTTTTATTTTATGGAAACCATGAATCGATCTAAGTCAAAATACCACTGAGACCAAAAAGCACAAAAAATCGCTGTCTTATTGTGATGCTTTTCAGCAGCAGACTAGAACCTAAGAAATGTCGAGCCTCAAACCCAAACCGCTTAAAGAAATGAACGATTCTTGAGCAATGTCGCAGATTGATTGGGACCAGGCGTTATTACTGTTGGATCACAACACAGCGGTCAAAATATTGAGCGTTTGCACACGAGACTGGTGGTGACAGTTTTAATCCGTCGTGCGAGATTGTGAAGTCCCTCTGCCGCGGAGCCCTATACTAGGACGAAACCCGTATCCAGTGCTCTCAGGTTTCCAGTGGTGGTCATGTAGTAGTGCAGGTTCCAAACCATACGATCCTTGAAGTCGAACATACCATAACAGAGATTAACATTCAATATTTAACACTTAGAGGTCAAAATTGTGAGCGCAGAAAGACCTTATCTATATGGTGTTTATATGGCAAAGAGGGCCACATCATCCAGCTCGGAGACCGAAAGCCCACCGCAGTCAAAACGTTTTAACAATCACAATGAGTTATAAATTAACCGTACATCCAACAATAGCCTCGAACTCAACGGACTGACAATAGAAAGACTCATTTTCACGACGCATAGCAAAGATAAATCTAGATAATTACAGGCTGTCCTCCTTGAACCTGACCAAAGGATGGACAAGTGGAAATGACCAATATCAAAGTTGATAATTTCCTTATCCTCTATATTACTCGTTAGTTCAGGTTATAATACTTCCCAATTTTCTATCACCATTATAAGACACATTAAGCCCCTAGAAGCACAGTTCTTTTCTATTAATTGAACAATTTTTGTGATCAGTTAAACATTTATTCGATCATCGTACAAAAGCCAGTTCAGGCAACTCTTGTAAAAAATCTCTTCCAGATACTCTCGAAATAACTTGCAAGACAACGTACTACTGCATGAACAGCTGGAGGAAATTTTTAAAACGTATGACTGAGGGAATTCAAACAATCATTAAAAATACAACAGCAACCTACGGGAAATAGAGTGATCTGTACTGGCATTAGGCTCTAACCACACAATCCTCAAAGCTGAACACGAGATAACTGGGGAAATATATATCTAACATTTAGGGTAGGGAAAACCCAACAATGGAGAAGGTAGGAAGAATAAATTCAATTAATTCAAATTCATGGAATGGTATGGCTCGGCCATGCAGGAGGGATCACTCTTGTGTAACTTTTATCCATATTACATGTATTGTTCAATCCTCAGCCTAAATGTTTTCTTCATCATATAGTGATGATTGTGACGATACGATGAGTCGGTGTAAACAACGATGTGACTTCCACGTATGATATTATATATTAGTGTGATGTTTTAGTGATTTAATGATTCCTTTGTATTTGTTAAATGCTTGAGTTCGAATTCTAAATACAGTACATTCGCTCGTGCTTGTCTAGTACTTCTTGATTCAATTACGTTATTTCTGGGATTCTTAGTTCGTACTATAATTCAAATACTCCCACTTATTATATTGGCGTCGCGATGGAGCCTGCGATGGAAAAGTTAGATTTTCATTCAACTTCTGAAGCTTTTGAGGATTACTTTGAAAGGTTCGAACTCTGTGCTTTGACCAGGGAAGATGCTGAGGATGTTAATATGGTAGCACATTTCCTCACATTCATTGGAAAAAAGCGTACAGCTTATTAAGAACTCTGGCTATGCCGGAAAAGCCTATCTCGCTTCCTTATACAACCCTCAAGGAACTGCTGCTAGACTATGTTAAGTATACAAATTTCGAATGCGGTAAAGGAGGGAGATCTCGTAAAATGACTCATGAGGATATAAAAAATTTCGCTACATTACGTCATCCTAACCCAGTGCATACCTAAGGATATACAGATAATTCATTGAGGATTTGCTATGCAGTTCACGAAGATGAGCACAACTTTGGTCGATGTTTGTCCTGTGGCAGGTTCCACTCTTTTAATTCATGTAAATTTCGTAATTCTAAGCGCTTTAAATGAGGTGATATTGGACATATTCAGTCAGTTAATCTTGCTGCAACTAATATTAAGTACTGTAATTCTGATTCTATTTATAATGATCATTTATCTTTATCAACGATTTCAAAGGACAATGTAGAGTCATATAGCAGTTCAGAGTTAAATTAAACTCAGAATCCCTTCGGTTGTTAATTCTAATATTAATGAGTGTATTTTAGAAAATACAGATTTTTTATCCAATACAATGTCGGATAAACACAGGATGAACTTAAGAAGAAAACGTACAATCAACTACAGACACTTACACTCCAATTTAAGCTGTGACGGATGTGGTGTTTAAATGAACTAATGATTCCTTTGTACTTGTTAAATGCTTGGTTTCGAATTCCAAGAACAGTACATTCGTTCGTGCTTGTCTGGTACTTCTTGGATTCTTAGTTCGTACTGTAATTCAAATACTCCTAATCATCACAGTTAGGCAGTTACATCATGGCAAATGTACATTATTATTAGGTCTATTATTAAAGAAGTACTAGTAACGAAGTAGACCATATTTCTACAGACCCATCTCAATCTACAACATTTTATTGAGTAAAAACCTTTCCAAATTCTCATACTGTTCGAGCATCAACTAGGAGAATCCTAAAGTAATCCCTGCAGTACACAATGTAATGTTATTCTTCAGACCGGATGAAAAACAGAATCGCGTCAAAGATAATCACTTTAGGTGAAAGGATTATAAAATTATCTATCACACTATTTTGTTCCATCTAACTCGCGACCGTTTAACCCCACTCATTCGGAATGTATCAAAGCATGCGTCGCAAATTCAGTTCGTTATCTTAAGCTTGATTCATACGAGAATCGTATAAAAACATTGAACATAAAGTCGACTACAAAACAAATATATCAATGCCAAAATGATAATGGATTTATTCCATAAATTAAAAAAGCGATTGACAATATAGACAAATATAACCACACACAAAAAACTTTGTCACGTTTGTAGCGTGGGGTCGAGTCGAGATTGACTATGAACACCGCTACAGAGAAACACGTGTCAAATAAATCCATAAAATCACCCGGAAGCCAAATATCAGAAGGCAGTTCATGGACCAAGTCGAGATATATTTGCTGGCGATCTCGTAGTATCGAAAGAATACCGAGATCGTGCCAGGATACAAGCTTGGTTACAGAGCGTAACCGAATTCGCGCGAGGTCACAACCAAAGTGTGAGAATACTAGGTGTTTTTTAGCAAAGTTAAACAAAGAGCGCATTAAACAGTCACTGGTACAATTGGTTACAATAATAATTGTTTTCAGTAAACCAATCATGTTCTCGTGATAAAAGTGCGTCACTAAACGTTAATCAAACTGAAAGTGAGAAGTGTGTCTGAGATTCGGTCTTGTTATCCGCAAATAGTCAATAATACGATAGATATAATCCAAGATAATGCGCATCCGGAATAATCACGTGATAGGAATATCAGTGTGTTATGAAGACACAGACATGACATATATTATATGTTGTTATCGCGACGGTTAAATTGTCAAGTGTCTTTGTGGACGTACTGTCTACTCAATTCTTACATTGCCCTACCATCTAAGGTGATCTACGGAGTTCATTAAGAGGAAATCTGACACTTTTGGCACCAAGAAAGGAACCTCAAATCGGCTCACCAAATATTCCTTTATATGTCCATATTTCAGATATATTGGTCACTTCAAAGAAGCTCCATGATCCGTTGCTACTAGGTGTTAATATGTCTCATCATTTTCCTACCTCCAGAACAACTAATCTCCGAGCTCATAGAAAGAAGGTTCACAGACTGCGATCTACTAAACTTAAGGTTGTGTGCCGTTTTTCTCATTGAGTAGTCAATGACTGGAACGCCTTACCCGAACAAGTGGTATCAGTCACATCAGTGAATATTTTCAAGGGGAATCTGAACCTTCACTGGAAAGCAATCTACCAGGATTAATACCGATTCACCAACCTATTATCCTTATTATCGAAGACTGAAGATATAGAAACTCGTTAAACGAAAGATTCTCTTATTCACTTCATAACCAATTTTAAGTACTTGAATATATACGAAAGTACAGAAAATATTTCACTCAGGTGGATGGTTAAACTTTATGAAGAATCTGGAATCATTACTTGATGTCAGAATGAAGGACACAAGCAAATCGATTGATAAACATTTTAGATATTGAATATTTAATGAATGAAGTGGGAATTTCAACACGGCTAGGTCATTTGCAGTAACAAGCAGTCTGCTGGTTAGTAAGATGGCTTCCGATTCTATTCAGGTTCGTATCGTCCTTTGGAAATTAGCGTTTATTTTGTAGAGGAAAGAAGTTAGGTGCTTACAAAACGAATATGATAAACTTCTCCAGTCCGCCAATTTTTCTGAAATTAAAAAACTGTTGGAAGAAGGTGAAAAGCTACGGTATCAAGCAAGCCATCTGGAAAAGGTAGTAAAGTATAATGTTCACTGTTTTAGTATCTGAAACAATTGGACAACCATGTACGATATAATTCTATAAGTATCCAAGCTACCGTAGCTGCTTTGTTTGATTACGCTATAAAAACAGTGTTCATAAATACTAAACACTGTGTACAACTCAATGTTCCCACTAAGCGCAGTTTTGGGGATTATCAGTGCAACTCTGCTCTTAGCATTCGAAAAGTATGTACTGAATAATATCACTATTGCTCAGGAGTCGAACAGTGATCAAAATCCATTTGATATTGCAAAATCTATCGTTGCCGCTTTACCTGTCAATGATTTAATTGAAAGAGTAGACGTTGTTCTTCCTGGCTTCATAAACATTTGGATTAAACAACAATTCATTTCTGCTGAAGTCAGAAAGATTTTACTTCATGGGGTTACACCCCCATTCATACCTCATAAATACTCTGTGATTGTCGACATGTCCTCTCCAAACATCGCCAAAGAAATGCATGTGGGACATCTAAGGTAGGAGTCGTAACGAAGTATCAACTCTTTCGCCTATTTTGGGCCTTACTTGTGTTCCCACCTTGTCAATTATTATGCGTAAAGAAAATCAGCAGAAATAGAAAGCTTACTTTTGTATATCCATGGTTAAGGACTGTCAAAAAGTTTCTGAACCTAGTCGGTTAAGTTTCTCGTACTTCGTGTCTTCTTTTAATTCTGCTAAATACTACTCTGTGATTCCCTTATTTATTTATTTGAACACATAAATATTGGTAAGAAAGGGCACCGAATACGTATGCGCCACACAAGTCACTTGATTTGTGTGTGGGCTGCGATACTGCCCAGTTGCTCAAACTGGAGCAGGTCCTGTATTTTCTAGGCAAAAAAGGTTTGTAGTCTGTGCATTATTATCAGTATAACTTCGGCATCATAAAGTCCCGTCTACTAGTTTCTCTAGATTTTAATAAACATCTGACAATTTATTTATTCTTAGTTGCGCCCAACTTTGCACCGTTAATTATCAGAGTTAAGTTCTGCTACACCTACTTACGTTTGAATAGCCAGTTACTACCAGCTTTCTTTAAGTTTGGTTCAGACCGGGGATACAAACTTTTACTTGGTATTTAAATTACATTAATTAATTCTTGTTTAAAACTTAGGGGCACCATTACTTATGTCAAGCCTATAGCACTATTACTGTAACTCCGTCATCACTTAGAAACATGTGTAGTTCCCTCCCTCGTAACAATCTTTCCTTGTCAGAAATGACTATTTTCCGATTGGTCCCAAATCACTGCGATCACTTCAAATATCACTCCCCTGACTTACATCTTGGGTCTGTTGCAATGGCTCAGTAAACTATACTGTTATCAATTATTTCCTTCCACGGATTCATCATCCCTCATACGATATGGTTTGGGCTGTTTGTAGTATTTTTTGTCTCTCTATAGCATGATTCATCTTACTCCATAATCACACTTATTTAAAGTGTTATTTAAAAATTTGCTTAGTAAACTATACTTCACCTTTACAGTGAGTATAGTTTGTTTCAACTAGTAATGAAAGCACCTTTAATGTAAATACACTCCATGAAATCTCTCTTTTTAACGGTTATTTATACTAAGCATAATCTTGCGATAATTAATAAGTTAATGCAGTACAGTAACTAAGTACAGAATTTTGTGTTCTTTAAACTACTTTCACATTGTAAGGACTAGAAATACTATCCAATTGGCCGTACCAAAATAGATGCAGTGGAATATGAACCTACGAACTTAGTAATTGAGATTTCAAGTGTCAATACATTTACATCACAGAAAACTGAAACAGACATTTCAGATTTGCACTTCTGAGCAATTATTTCTGAAGTGGCTTTCATTAATTAACCTCCAAACTACTCACAATAGAACATCAATCTGGGGGAATTGTAGGGCTCGGCATATCATATATATCACTTGAACTTTACAAATTTTATTATTTGAAAACTGTATATTGAACCATACTCGTTCACTAATATTTATTAACTTAATCAGTAGATTTTGATTATCTATAGTTTGCCATGAATAGGTTTAGACAATCAAAGTAAAGTTCAGCAAATTGCTTACAAAATCTAAGTGCACTAAATTACATCATCATCTAGTGACCGACCTAATACAAGGTTTGTTAGAGAGTTATTTTTAAATCCCATCTGAACATATACAAAATAAAGCTTACTAAACTAATAAATCTATTTCATAGTTGTCTAGTGTTACTTTCTAAGTGGACTGTTTTATGTGAATGTTTATTTGTAATTACATCAATTAAACTTTGCAAGCGAATTCAGGACTACCGGAGTCACTCTGAAATTGTTAATAAAGATAATAAATTCTGTCTCTAACTTTATCAACCAAATAATGCCACACCGTTGTCCTGCTTAAATTGTATCACCATATTTACTTAATACACAAAATACTGGTACGATTGGTCATCAAATTAAATATGCGTCACACAAGTAAGGGCATTAACTTGTGAAGAGATACATTGAGGAGGGGTAGGATAATGAAAAACAAATAGATGGATAAAAACAAATTTACAGTATTAATATATGGTGGGAGAAACAATTCAGTTAAAAACAACCAGAAAAAATTCAGTCGACGGGGTTCTGTTCATTTCTGTATGAAGAATTTTAAAGAAAAATACTACAAGATCGCTATTGGCTTCTGCTTTGAACTATGTACGATAATGTCTCAGGCCATTGAATTACATCACCTCTTGGAGTACAACCATTGAGTCGTGATGGGCCAAAATATGTCAGTCCTATACAACTTTCTTTCATACCACTGCGCCATATCATAAACTGACCATTCTCCCTCTTCCATCCTTTCCTAGCGCCAGCAAATATTTCAAGATGTAGAAGTCTTCAGGATGATATCGTAAAACACTTCCAAGCCACCGAAGCCGGTGTTTCAAGTTGGTGACACTAAATAAGTTATCGTCAGTGCGCTCAAATACGCATTTAAAAACCTTAGCATTATTGGCATTGTGTTGCCACTGGATGTCAGCAGCCCTTCGAAGACGGTAATCGAATACGAAAAATCGCGGAACATCCTTAACTCAAAAGGATCAGGTTGTTCAAGCACAAAACAGAATTGCCTTCACCAGCACGTTGTAGTCACAAAAGTTTACAACCAGACTAACATCTAAACGTCGCCAAATATGCTCTGACCTAACATGAGTCACTCTGGCTCTGATTATGCTTAGATTGATCTTGTTAGTCGTGTCACTACCAGTACGCACACACCTACCCGGGCACGCAAATTTTACGATTACTGATGTCTCACCACGACCACCGAGGACAGGCATAGGCTCCTTCCAGTCGGATCGAAGGCTACTCTGATATCAAGAAACACAACTGTTCGTCTGAATTTAATGTGGCGGTTCTCTAACATCCGGCAAAGAGTTAAAATATCATTAATACATCCGAAAATTGACTAAAAGCAGCTTGCCTCCTACGGGCCAATCCTACACTGGAGCCAACAGTTTGGAGTCGACCGAAAGTAGACTTATCCCCTCATAATATGTATGGATGAATTAGGTGCTTTTTAATGATATGGACGACAATCGCTTCACTCATGGGCGTTGGAACACTCAATTTCCCGAACTTTTCCAATTAACCCCGTCAGTTACTTCACTAAATTTTCACCATCATCCTTAAAACTAGCTGAGGGTGTAGGTCTTCTGTGCCTATTGGCCTGTGGTGCTTCAGGAGTTGGAGTGTCGTTATATAAGAAATAAATTTGAAACAAACTTCATTTCAGTAAACATATATTAAACCTTTTAGTGCTCAGATATTACCAGATAATTCCAATTTAAACATAAAAAATTAAAAACACGAAGTTCAGCGAAGGGATGTCTTTTCAACGAATTTTTTATCAAGCTGTACAATCGTATATATGTATGAAAATCTTTTTGTTAAAGTACTAATTTCATGAGGAAATGTGGACACGAATAACCAATATGACGTAATAGAAATCTTATAATACTAGATTACGTAGTACGAATTATAACAATAGATTTAGTGAATATCATAAGATGATTAAAATGTTTTTGTTGCAATAATTAAAGGTCATAGAGGTGTAAAATCGGTAAGGTGATATGATGAGCATTTATAAATAAAATAATGAGAATATAAGACAGGTAAAGGGGAATGCAGTATTAATAATACTATCCGACGCGTTTACTTGGTGTTATTTTTCTGTTACAGATCAACTATTATTGGAGAAAGTATTTCCCGTTTGCTTTCATTTTTGGGTCACAAAGTACTGAAACTCAATCATCTTGGAGATTGGGGAACACAGTTTGGGATGTTAATAACCCACTTAAAAGAAATATATCCTGATCATAAAACTGCACCTCCGATATCAGACCTTCAAGCTTTTTATAAAACTTCCAAAACTAGATTTGATGAGGAAAAAGATTTTAATCAAAGAGCACATGTGGCCGTTGTTAAACTTCAACAAAATGATCCTGAGTATGTACATGCCTGGAAACAAATTTGTGACATATCACGAAAAGGTATGTAATTGAAACCTATTCATAGTACTTATTTATTTATTTATTTTATTTGAAAACATAAATATTGGTACAAAGGAGCACTGAATACATATGCATCACACAAATCCCATTTGATTTATGTGAGGGCTGTGATGCTGCCCGGGTGCCCAGAACGAAGCAGGTGATTTTCTCAGGGGGCTACACCCGGAGCCCCCAACCTAAAGGTCTGGTCCGCAAAACAGTGGAGCAACGTAAGGAGATGCAGTACCATGGTAGCCAGTGACCAATAATTGGTTCATATGCCATTTCCCCCCTCAAAATCCTGGAGCCCATGTACATCATTGGTTTGGAATCAGGGTTCTCCAACTCGCCTAGGTGGACTCTCCGTGTTCACCAACCGGTAAAGCGCCGGACATTCGCTTTTCGTTCTCCACTTCGTAAACGACAGCCCCGCCACGAGAGGGCAGTGAGTAGGACTTTCTTGGCAGCGGTTTTATGCGCGTGGCCATGTGAGAGCATTTCGAGAGGAAGAGCTGACTCTCTCCACTCTTGGCCGTACCAGGGCATTTGGGGGTGCTATTCATAGTACAAGCATAATGCGATATATTATTGTCACAGTGTAATCACTAGATTTCTCATAATTATCAAGTTTATTCCTTTACCAGGTTCCAAAAATTTACTAATATCAGATACGAAATCCTTTTCTGATACATACTTTTTCCGGTCTTGGGGGTACTATACATGCAAAACTACTTATATAAAATGAAGAATTCACTACCTTACATCAGTAAATTTTCTAAGCCTGGTGAAGAAAGGAATGAAACCGATATAATCTGACAATGGCCTACGGATATAGTAAGGGGAACGGGAAACAGTTCTTTAATCACATCCAAAAAGCTCGACAAATTAATACTCTCAGGTCCTATACTACCTAGACTATATGACATATCCAAAGTACATAAAGCTGGATTACCTCTTCACCCCACTGTAGGCATAGTTGGATCACAGTGCCACATGATTACAAAGCGGTTAACTCATGAATAAATCGATTCGAATACAAGTCTGTAAGTACTCTCTAAATAATGCCGTTTAATTTTTTGTGTTATAATAAGACAATAATCGCGACAGATATTAATTTTGTATTTATAAACATACTGTTAACATAAACGGTGTTTTATTCGTGATTTTCAGTTGATTTTTCATAGGTTCACAATTGCACTGGAAACTAGTGTGTGTATACATTCATACCTAATTATTATATGTTGAGTGGCTGGACGAAATCTGCTGAAATCACTGGGTTAGGTTTCTCGTTAGTTAATACTCGTCAGCGAAGCGCAATCTCAATTTCTGGGGAAATTGTGGTCGCTATAGTACCGAAAACTACATCACCCAGTTTCGGTAGAGTTTAGTCATCAGTAAGGACAGGAAGACATGAAGTTCGTTACCAGCCAACAATCAGTTTTTGCAATTAATCGATCTAACGCTGGTTGTCATTATATTCAATACAAATTTATCATCTCACTATTCTATTTTCAGAATTCGACGATGTATACCGTCGACTGGGTATTGAGAATCTTATTGAGCGTGGAGAATCGTTTTATCAAAGTCGAATGGAAGAGTTTGTTAATGATCTAAAAAGTCAGAATGTTCTGCAGGAAGATGAGGGTAGATTAATTTTGTGGCCACCCAAATGCGAAGTTCCTCTCACAGTTGTAAAATCAGATGGTGGTTTTACCTATGATACATCTGACTTAACTGCTTTACTTCAGCGTTTGCATGAAGAAAAGGCGGATTGGGTCTTGTATGTTGTGGATATGGGTCAGGTAAGTGGAATTCATTTATGCTGAAGTTGGTCACTAATCTCTCCCAAGTTATCTCTGATTAGTGAGAGGAAGAAAGACTAAATATTCATGTCTATTTAGCAACCAGGAGATAACTAAGAGATGCTTTAAATTTCGTGTCAATAGTGCAACTGCAGTCGGTAGGTAAAACAGAAAAATGATTTTCATGAGAACTGAAGAATATATGAGACAAATTAAAGCGTCTCACAATATTGACACGAAAAGATCTCAGGTCGTTGTATGGGAAGAGGGAAGCGACATGATGCTCAAGATCTTAATTTACCGGAGTGAATTATCTGCAAAATTAATACCGTTTAACCATTTATGACACCTAGTCGTGTTAACGTTTTGCGGATAGAAATGTTCCTTTTATTGAAAAAACCCTCGTGTACTGGGCAACTGTTTTGTCGTCTGGTATCATTTCATTGAGGGAGTGGGATACTTACATCAATAATTCGACCTCATAACCAGTTATCACTAGGCCACATTATATTGCTGCATATTATCAATCGGTAGGCATGAAGTTTATTAATTTAACAATCCCACGACTGTTTTTTGATAGCAAATTTTAACGTTCTAATCGGTCTTACTTGTTACCATTCTTATCTAAAAAATACTACTCAGTGTCTGAATCATTACTTGTTTCTACAATGTAGGATTTACGAGACGTTCAGTTATGTAAAATAACAACCACTTATGTAATTAATATACCTTTCTGTACTAATGTGCTGCTTTATTTTAGTCTGTTCACCTTAACACGGTATTTGCGGGTGCAGAAATGCTTGGTTATTATAATCCTAGTGTACACAGAGTTCAACACATTGGATTCGGTGTGGTGCTCGGTGAAGATAAGTACGTTTTTTACTACATTTTTAGTTTTTATATGATATTTGCAAATTTCTAAGAATTCATTGGTCCACTAAACTATGTTATTCATGAATCGGAAATGTAACCAGATGTTTTTTTCGGACTATAGATCACATCAACTTTCTTAATAAATCTTCACCAATTCAAACCTTCATATTAACCGGCTAAAACATTGTCTACCAACATAGTTTACAATTACACAGTGTGTTAAGAATACTACCACATAATTGGATTAGTAGTACTTACTGAAGAACGTTCATTAATCAATGTGACAATAAAAAATAGACACATGGAATACCGTGAATAAATGAAACACCGTTTAACGCATGAAACTTTCGTACATGGAAAATCAAGCTGCCCCTCATATTCACTGTTTAACAACCAGTGACTGAAACTAAAGATAATTCAGCGAAGATTTTCTTTTCAACGAAATCATTTACTCAAGCTGTACATTCGTATTTATAGTTATATGGGAAAGATTAATTGGACCCCAGAGTACTAGATTAGTCATCTTAAAAAGCACGGTACAGTGAAGTTTTTCTCAGTCACTTATTTTTCTTACCATCATGTTTAAACTTATTTGTTTGTTTTTATCGATGGAATACATTTTCCTTGGATTATTTATTAAGGAAAAAATTTAAAACTCGTTCCGGTGACACAGTTCGTCTTGTTGATTTATTGGATGAAGGTCTTGAACGAGCAAAGAACCGATTGCTTGAGAAAGAAAGGAATAAAGTGAGATATTTTGAAATTGAAATAACTCTTTCATGATTTTCGGCCACATATCGCTGTATATATATATAGCAGTTAATGAGCACCTTGAGTCCTTTCATATGGTTTAGAAGTTTGAGCGTTATATGTACGCCGGTAGATTTGTCATTAAAAAGTTTGACAACCGCAGGTTCGAACCCAGCTTCGTCTGCTTCCGTTTAGGCTACAGGCTAGTATAACTAGATCTTATGTAAAAATTGTAGTTTAAGGCCAAATACGTAAATGTGTACTTGGTGAAGTTACAGACTAATTTATTGGGGTTGTTTTTTACTACATTCAAACCCACCATATAATCCAACTAAGCCTGTAGAGTAATAAAAATCACATAATTAATAGGCTCATTGTATATATTGGTGGCCATCACAAACTTCGATGCAGTACTATTACTAATATTCATTTTAAAACTTGATTTTTGTCGTGGATATATTGCGATAGCACAGTTAGTCATTTATCTCAATACTATGGTTTGTCTTTTCATCTGATATGCTGAGGGCTCAGATAAATGTGTACATTTGTGTAATTCTAGATAATCTATATTTTATATAACATACGTATGCCCTTGTTCAGTTAATTTAAGAAATCCTAGTTGAAATTGAAATGTATCCTGTTTTAAATTCGAAGGCTTTCTAATTTATTATCATCTAGTTTTCACATATTTCATGTCCTCCTCCCAAATAATTATTTCCCCAAGCATAAAAATTAATCCTACATTGGGCGTTTTATACTGAACATTATAGTATTAAACGTACAGAGAGTAGGACAATAAACTCTCTTCTATTTGCAGATCTTACGTTTCTGTTCTTTTATTTTCTTCTCCCTTTTTTAAAGGAGCTAACTGAAGCTGAATTTGAACGAGCTCAAAAGGCTGTAGCATATGGTTGTATTAAGTATGCTGATTTATCACATAGTCGAACAATTGATTATGTATTCTCATTCGATAGGGTAAGTAATGGTGATATGTAGGCGAAAAGTGATCTGTTATTATCTTTATTAAAAATATTTGGTAACAATTCAATCCAACTTATAAAATAATGTCTAATAGCTAAAGTTAATAGTTATGTGGTTTTTATACATTGGTTACTGAAACCTTAGTTGATATTAAAAATCGAAATTTATGTTAGTCCTTAAAATTGGACGAACTGTTCCGCTGTATAATTTACGCGTTTTATTTGTCACACATTAATATCAGTCCAGGTGTTATCGAAAACAAGGAAGCACTAAACAACAGTGCACACCCATGACCCAACCAGAGATCGGACCTAGGGTATTCATGTATTGTGGTGAGCCTCTATTTTTAACCATTTGCCTGGGATCCATTGGTTTACATTTCTAACTTCAATCAGTTTTGCAACCGTTCTACAATGCCATTGATGGGTAACAGCTTCATTTAAGTGGTCGTTATGTGATACTGTTTTTCTCATTAAAAAAGCCTACTTTTCCATAAAATAATCCATTTAGGATGCGATTGATTATCGTATCTTCACAAGACCCCTTTTGACCGTCTCACTGTATATTAAATCTTCAATGGATCACTTAGTGTATTTCATATTTTAAACAATTACTTAAAAATACTCCAAATTCAATAAGTTTTAGTTCTTTCAAGAAAAAGTTAGTAAATACAAATATAATTTGATATTTTCTAAGATGTTACGTTTTATTGCAAGAAGTCTTCATAAACTATATCCTTTAGTTGAACGCTGTTTTATAAAGAAATTTTCACTGATTTCAACATATTTTAATGTCTGTAGATTCAATATTTGTGTTACTAAGCTTAATTCATATTAACTGACGTTATGTTTTAATCTGTTAGGTTCTATATACCATAGATATCACTATGTAAGAAATAAAAAAGCCATTGCTATTTCTCATGTCTTTTAAAATTGCCTACCTGTGTGTTAACTAGTATCAGTATACTATTTGACTAAGTGATCTGTTAATTTATTAAAATGTGTGCCAGGAATATTGTGAATCTGAGTGCTAAAAACAATACAGATTATAAGAACTAAATTAACTAGTATATACTGGAGAATCAGTAATAAGGATATAGGAAACCAAAGATAAGTGTCAGTATAAGCAAGTTATATATATATATATATATATATATATATATATATATACGTAAATGTGAAAAGCAAACAAAAAATAGTTTAGTAATAGGTAAAATACGGAGACAAACAGGGTTTCCAGATTTCTGAGTGCTTAATTTTTAGTTCAAAAGGATTTTAATTACTGATCGGATTAATGATGTAACTCAGTAATTAGGAAGTAATCTATCATGTACTCCGAGTACTGATACTATATGGTTAGCTAAATTAAAAGTGGGACGGAGTTCGAACGTACGACCCAGTAACCGAAGTTTCTAGTCATTTAACAGCTAAGTTGTTACAACCCATTCGAATTAATGTCGGAGTACACTGAATATTCAACCGCTTTCTGTGAATAGTTTTTCACTGAGATTTGTCTAGATCTTGTTAAAACGTCAAACAAATCACTGAATAAAAATTAAAATTTTTGTTCTTTAACTTTTAAATGTGAATTTCAGATGTTGGATGATAAAGGAAACACTGCAGTTTACTTGTTATACGCATATACACGGATCAGGTAATTACTTATATACATATATATATATATATATATATATATATATATATATATATATATATATATACATCAGTCTAAGTCGCCACACCTCATTAGCACAACAAGCTGTTTTTGATTAGTCGTAAGGTCAAGGGACCGAGGGTAAATCGAACATGTTTCACACCATCAATAATGTCATTACCCTTTTCACTGATCACCTTTATCAATATGCGCCCTTTTGATGGTCACCACCCACTAATGCTCGATCTTATCACAGTATATTCTTTTTGTCTGAGCCCTCAGTAGTGTGAACCATAAAAGTGCGTAAGATATTTATTACTGCCTAATTTTTTTTAAAGTACATCCCGCTTAATTGTATTTTAAGTAGGAGTAATGTCGTAGAATCAATGCAGCTTCTATTTAGCAGTTAAGATACTTTTCCAATTAAACATGATGTAATTTGGTTGAATTTGTTTGGCAGACGGCTATGGCATACAATAGCGCAACATTTAGGAAAAAACCTGGTTATATAGTAAGATTATTATTACAAAGGTTTCTGACTGAGAAAATACTGCCTTGACTATTTTCTTTCCATAGAATTACTTGTTTTTCACTCCAACACCAAATGTTTATTTTAGTAGTTATGATTGTCAAAAAGAAGCTAATACAGTATTGTTTCGAGCCATTTTGATACGTTTAGAGGGTAACTTTTGGTATTGGATAACATTACTAGTATTTCGTTTCACATACAAAACTGATATTTATTTCCATTTAAAAATGTTTATCACTGATGTGACTCGTTGATTTCCAAGTACTTTTTTTCGAAAACACAATAGAGTTATCGTCATATTGAAATATCACTGTATATTTTTGTCTAAGCTCTAAATTACCCAAAACGTGCACTAACTTCACACAAGCCAATTGTATGATTATTTTATCTTATATGGTTTTATTTTACAGATCAATTATAAGAAATGCAGGTTATTCTGAAAGAACAATCAATGAAATTAGTGAAACAGTACCACTGAAATTTGAACATCCTATGGAGTTGACATTAGCCAAAACATTATGTCGTCTACCAGATATTCTACTAAAAATTCAAAATGACTTTCTATTGCATAGCCTATGCGATTATTTGTACGACTTGAGTTGTGACTTTACAAACTTCTACGATGCATGTTATTGTATTGAACGGAATCAAGAGACCGGTAAGTGTATGTATTTGTCTACTTCTTCAATAAAGTTAATCATTTTTTAGTTGACGGCATTAGATTCGTACTGTTACATGATTAGATGTCCTCTTTTTATTTGTTTTCTGTTGTTAATAACATTAGTAACTAATGATTGAGGTACATAGTGGTGGTTATTCGACCAAGTTTTCTTTTACTCATCTACATTTTACAGTGAATTTAATTCGTAAAAATTAGTGCCTAATTTATAATTTATCGTACAGTAATATCCAAATGCTTTTAATTAGTAGTGTGTATGTAGGATAGTAAACCAGAAATACTAATTATAACAATTGACTATGAGTAAAATCAAGATTAAGATAATGAACTATGATTTTTGTCGAAATTGCCTTTTTAACTGATTGGTTTAATCGTGAAGCTTTCAATATCTTTCTACATAACACCAGTATATAACTCCGAAATTCATCCACAAGTGACTAACAGCTTATTCGTTCGACCTTGAATTGGATTGGTTGTTGCATTAGATCATTCCTTCTGAACTGCAAATTTTAGCCATTATTTCATTTAAGACTATTTTAACGTCAATGCACGATGTCATACCAGCGAAAAGATTTTCTAAAAAAAAACATATTCTTTATCGTCAATGCTTTATTTTGGAATGATTCATTCACTTTTCGACACGTTACATTTTACTGTTTGTAATGTGGATCTTTATTTATTCATTCACTTTAGGTGATGTTCAAATTAATAAAGAACGTATTGTATTATGTGAAGCTACTGCTCGAGTAATGAAATGTGGATTTGATATACTTGGAATTGAAACAGTTGAAAAAATGTAAATGTTTTTGTGTTCAGTTGAACAATAAACAACATTTGTACAAAAGGAGTAGATATGTCTCTTTTCTTAAAAAAAAGCTTATTCCATAACATGTTAATCATGGTGTCGGGGTAGATGTGTAGAAATTCAAAACAACAATAGTAGTAGTAGTAATAACATAGAAAGATTTCTTTCCCGTAATAAACAATACTATTTACAACGTATTCAAAGGAATGAGTCATTAAATATTCTTATACTTATTAGTAGTCTATCTGTATGTTGAATGAAATAATGTAGATTTTTGCACAGTTTGAGTTTAATTCTGGGATGATAATTACATACACCTATGGAAGACATCTAATTAATTAATTTACTACTTTTAGTTATCACTATTTGATAAATCACTATGAATCCCTTGATTCTACCTACTATAAGTCTACTATCGACCGAGTACGATTAAAAAAAACATTATGTACTAATTTTTTCCAAACCACGAAGGGAGTTGCTGGCTGACTCGTTAACTAAGTTATCTGGTCATACATCTGAGTAGTTAAATAATCAGTGGTATATCAAAATCAGGTGAATTATTCCGCATTTGACGAACCACAATAGGTCGACTAGAAAATGACAAACAGATTCCTTAACACAACCATTCTCAACTTCACAATTCATCGACAATCCTGAAAAATTGGTGCTTAAACCACTTTCAGAGATTTTACCGCCGATAAAGTTCATTAACCTGAATTTCATATTGAAACTCGATCAGCAGAATCTAGTTAGTACTAAGGACTAGGAATCATGATGTAGGTTACTACTGAGCGATCAATTACTGTAAATACGACGTAAATAAATTAGCTACGGGCTGAATGCCTCAGTCCCATTGTCTCCAACTGACAAATGACTAATACTTGTTCGAAGCATTAGTTTCTTTAGGGTTGTTGACACAAATGAGAAACTAACAGAAATTTGATACCAGGCTTCAGGTTGATTACTCTCAATTAATAAGCAACCAATTTTAAGTGTTAGCTGGGACATTGACAATAAATTACCAAGAATTATGTATTTTTCACAGATTGAAATCATGAGTCACTTGAAGCTAGACCACCATTGAAAACCTGGAAGCACTGGACGGCCGTTTCGTTCTAGTGTGGGACTCCTCAACAGTGCGCATCCACGATCCCGCACCACGCGGGGCTCGAACCCAGGACCTACTGGCTTTGCGCGTGAGCACTTAACCACTAGACCACTGAGCCGGCATCCAACGGTGTTAATGTCTAACTTCAACCAATCCACGAAGTTGCGCCACCATATACCATTGTCTTCAGTGAGCTGATATCTCACAACAGACCTGGTTGTACTCCACTGGTAACGGCTTCCCACTAGAACTGAGGAGTCCCATACTAGGACGAAACGACCGTCCAGTGCTTCCAGATTTTCAATGGTGGTCTAGCTTTAACTGACTCATGATTTCAATCTGTTAAAATTTCTAAAAATCTCCACAAACCCCTTCTGATAATTATGTATTTGCCAAAACTGTGTTTCCTAATTTTGCGGAAATGACCGTTTAGAAGGTTCGAAGTATGCATCATCATTAGTGAGTATCAGTAAGCAATAATAATTTGAATGAAATGGCTCAAAATTGTTTGCAATAGTGCAGGTGCATCCATTCTTTGTCTTCCCCAAATCCAAAGCTTTTGAATTCATCATAATTTTTCTGGCTTTAATTCCACTAACTTATAATTTCTTGAATCGTACCTTCGATGCCTAATATTTTGTACTACCACCTCTACTAATCTGGGATTTGGATTAATTTCATCTTCGTGCTAAAGGGGTCTGGCAAATCGAGCCGATGTAAACACGTACCAGGTTCTACGTTGTGACTGACTGAAACAATAGTAACGGCATGATATATACACTGCTTGAAATTAAAAATGAACATCAATATAAATTCAAATGATACTTAAAAAGAAGATATTTCAAGACAATTATTTCCCTTATGATGTTAGTGAGATGAGAATCATATCTTACATTCTATTGAATGGGACTAATTCATCGTCATACAGACACATGAAAAAGTTTAAGACAATCTTGAAGTAATAATGAATGAACAAACAATTACATAAATCCTCACACAAACCAAATGCCTAGTTGGATATAGGAAGAAGTTTTCAATAAAAAAATATTAAACTTTTTGATGGATGAATATCACAGTTTAAACAGGTGATAATGATATATATATATATATATATATATGCATATTTCGTAAAGTTTTTGTAAGTCCCTGAATAAGTAGTTGACAACACAATGTGAAATAGCAAAAACAAGGAGCATTTAAATAATTATTCTCTCTCTTGTATAAAGTAGTAAGCAGATGTGGAATAAAGAAGCAGAAGGAATATAAATGACGAAAATACTCTAAATGTCTTCAACCGATTGATTTAAATCAAAGCGTAAAACGCTAGTCCCAGATGCTTCTTGTTGTATACGATCAATGAAAGTCAAATTGATTAAACTGGAAGGTGCTAAACCTACTTCGCTTAAACTAAGATTATCATCGGTTAATTCAACAGGTACCGTCGGAGGCGCATTCGTAAGTGTGGCTGTTTGAATGCTTGGTGGGGCATATAATCGAAACAAATAAGGCTTAGCTAAACATTCAGAAATCCATTGTCGAACAGTTGAAAGTTTATCCATAGCATAAAATGTACCCTGAAAAGTAACAGAACAAAAATTCTTATTAACCATGTGTAAAATGTTAGCACGGTGAATGATATAAAATGAATAAAACTTGGATTAATTTTGATTTGATTATTTATTCTCTGAAGGAGTGGCTTACACTAAGTCACAAAGCGTCAGAAAATTCAATTTGTTTACGCATTGGGATATTACAAATATATTGATTAATTTATTTATAACAATCTACCCAATGCTCAATTTATTCGAAATTATCAAGCCAAACCTTGGTAATGATACCTACAATATAAAATGGTTTTTTACATAATGATGTATCACTGGAAATTCAGTGCATAACTATGTGAAGAATGTGAAAAGTTCGAAAGAAATCCAGTGATTGATTGAAACTTTGTTGACCGATATAATCAATCACGATCGTGACCGACGTCTTATCTTTAAGCTTGCGAAAACGACTTTATTGTTTTGTAGGTGGGTGACTATGATAACTATCATTATAGACTAATGTTGCGACACACCTGCCCCTCTCCAACTGAATTAATAATAACAACCTTTAGTGTTTAGCGTCCCTCTTACTTAAACCCTACTGTTCTACAAAATTCTTATAAATTTCCTTGGTTTTCAACAAGCTGAATATTGTCTACAAAATTCAGGTCAAAGAAATTCTCTGATGACCGTCCAACAAAACTGTCAGTGTGTAAAGTACGAGTAATTAATAAGAACATTGGTGAAGTATGATTTATCTGAGATAAATAAGACCGGCCAATCATAAACAACACACGGTGGACGTAGAACACATCAATCAGTTCACTGTTGTCACGCTTCATATCAACCCAACAACAGGATTAAAACACGAAGTAGTATTGTGGTGTGTGCTGCTTATATTGGTATAAGTAGTATATGACGCGAGTTATAAAACGTAATGTCCGGCAGCAGAAGATGGGGGAAGATCAAGAAAGGAAAAGCGGGAACACAATGCAATTTGTAAGAAAACGCATGAACAATGAAATGTGAGACAATGGATTGATGTTTGCAACAGGAACAGTCCAGGTTGATATGATGGATTGATATTTTGCAAATTAACGACCTGCTATATGGTTTTTCTATTTTACCGAGTAACTCTGTAATTTAGTGCTAAATACATTCAATTGTCCCCACTCGTGTTCTTGTTCACTACGGTATAGTAATACAGTTAAAAAGAACGAGTGAAACAAGGAAATGAAAGAAAAATTAAAATAACACCTGAAGACTTCAGGGAAACAAAAAGTGTATGCACCTGCATCATTGTAAAAATATCCAACTCTGGAGACCAATTACTTCGTAGATCCCAACCACAAAATTTCCACTGTCCAATATACACAGTCTCATATTTTGTAGTTTCATGACTTGATTATGCATTTCAGTCTTGCCAATCCATGGCTTTTTTCAATCTACTTTTTATGGTGGTTAACATAACAAATAGGCTTACATGTCAACATGAACATGAGTAAAACATTCTCCAACTACCTATACCGATGAATACTCACAGTCTAGGCAAACGGTTTCACATTTTTATCTACTAAGATAAAACTGACTTTGGGATTGCTTACTGAGTGGTAACACCACGCTTTGTTGTGCTTTGAAGAGACCTACCATTAAATACCAGAAACTTTCGTATATCTTCAAAGCAATATTCGATAACCTCAAAGTAGCAAAAAGTAAACTTTTAACTCATATGATAGACAGATGCACTGCTGACTATGAATTAAATTATTCTTTAAGTGAACAGTCAGTTCTCAATTCAAACAATTTGAAATGATTCAGTTGCCAAACATCGACAATAAGTGATAAACGAACCATATGGTCTTTATGGATGTATTAGATATAGTTATTTACCATAATTGACATTTCATGTTTTCAAATCTGCACTATGCACAAATCAGAGATCTACAGATTGTTTAAGATGAAGCATGAAAATTAGTACATTACGTTTAAAGACTGTGGATAAAATGTTTTTAGAGAAACGACTGTAACATGTAACGTTAACTATAACTGACTAAATAAACACAATTCAGTAAACAAGGAGAAGCACAAACCTGAAGAAGAAGGTTATCCGGGAACCGAACACGAATAACAGCGTAACGAAACGATTTCATATGTTGCGTTTTTAATCGTTCTCTCATGGCTTTAGTAAGTAACATACGACCTTCTTCTATAATTCGATGTTGATGATCGTAACATTTACGAAATTCTTCTTTTGTTAGGGAGAAAAACTCATCAGGAAGATGATCACGCGGAATACACGTCAGAGTACGACCAGTAGCCTGGTAATAAGTTACAAATAAATTCATT